CTAGATTCGGGACTAAACTTTGTATATGGACCATTTTGATCCAGAAATTACATCCATCTCCACCAAAAGAATCGAACCCAAGATCATAAGGATGACTTTGTCACCTCTGAGTTATTGGGCTACCAACTTTGGCTTAATATATGTTGTTGTTGTTGTTTATGCCCTTATCATGATTTATGATCTTTCATATATATATATATATAGCCTTTTTGGCATAGAAAAAAACATTCATATACTTAAAACCATGAATTATATAAGATTGTATAAATTTTGGAATGCGAGTGTTAATTCGAACTAATTGAGTTGGATGGAAATCATTTTTAATTATTTTTACCACGGTGATTCCTCTTTATCATTTTTTTTTTATGTAATCCATATTTATTGAATAGATGATATTGACTGATCAAGAAACAGATTCTCTATAAGGTGGCATTCATGATTACATCACATCAACAAATCGCTTTATGCAATTGCTTCTCATACTTTCTTTTAAGTTGACCAATTTTACAAAATACTTTTTCGTTCAATAACAACAAATTACAAATTCGAAACATATATAATCTATTTAAAAACAATATTTTAGATTTATATTCTAAAATTATTTCAGAAAGTTTATTTTAAAATTTTATGATATATATATATATATTAATAAATTATTACAAAACAGTTACATTTTAAATTAGTATTAGAATCTCTGAATTTTCTAATCAAACTATTTTTTTCTGGTTTAGAATTGTAGTCAAATGTATATATCTATGTGAAAAACATTATCTCAAATTTTATAACTATAGGAAAATAAAATGCGAAAATAAAATAAGACAAATAGAAAGGAACGAAATTACTTTTATTACTACATATCTTCTTCTTCTTGTTATATTACAATGAAAATAAAATACATATATATAGAAAAATTAAGAAATAAAGTAAAAAGGAAATATAGATACAATGAAAACAAATCAGATACACAATGTTCGACATAATGATATTGTATCCATTATTATTCCCCATCATATCTCAAATCTTATTTTACTCTCATCACATATTCATTTTTCCATTTTAACATTCTCCCTCAAGATTGACTTTGAAAGAATGAAAAAGTCAATCTTGAATTGATAATGCTATAAACTGCTCAAACATTTTCATTGTCTATGGAAAAATTCATAAACACCAAATTTTGTTCTTTTAGAGAGTATTAACCATTTTCAAATCATTTCGCTTGACTTTAAAGTTCTAACTTTAACTCTTTTTGTCATAGCATCTTGTTTGATCTTAGAGTTTTTAGCTTTGACTTTTGTTTGTCATAGCACATCATTTGAATTTGGATTTTTATTCTCCTTTGAACGATTTAGATATATGAACATCAAAAACGCAAAAGAAAAAAAAGATTAGAAAAAAAAAGAAACATTTAGTCCAGATCGCAACGCTGTTCTGATACTATATAAAAAAATAAAATGCGAAAATAAAATAAGACAAATAGAAATGAACGAAATTAAAGAAAAAAATTCGATAGAACACAATGAAATTTTGATACCTCTACGGGTGGTCATTAGAAACGCATTTTGTGTTTAATTAATATGTTGGGAATCTTTAAAAATAATTAACCATATAATTATTTACAGTCGGGCCACCAATGTGGAGGTTACACGACAACGAGTAAGCGTTATCCACATTTTCTTTTTGTCCTCACTATATAATATAAATATTTAGGGCTGTTTATTTAATTACGTATATATATATATATATATTATATATATATCCGTCGGCGAAGTGGGAGTAGCCAAAACCATACATCCAATGGCATCGCTCCATTTTTTTTCCCCTTTTTTGCTAAAACGTAATGTTCACTTCATCACATATATATATATATATATATGTGACACGGTAGAAAATCATTCCCAAAAAAATCGCACGTGCAAAGCGCGTGGCGTGTAAAATATCGGATCAAAATATCGCGAGATGGTACATGACGAGTAGTGGGACCCACGACCAGCTTGATATTTGGACTTTAGGGTCGCGTCTAATCCAATGAGATGCTGACTCAGACCAGTGCTTTGAGGTCATCTTTTTCGTATTTGTTTTTATATATAATTTTCACCCAACTGGTGTTCTGTTCTCACAGTAAAAAAATATTGGGTTTTTACAACAAACCCAAGAAAATTAGTTATTTTTTTTTCTAATTAGCTATATATATATATATATATATAACAGTAACACCACTAATTATAAATTTTTAAACGGGTATCCTGTTGCAATATAGTAAAAAGAAAATACAATCTTATTGGGTGTTACAACGAACCCTATAACATTTAGTATTGACTTAACCATCCGTAATTTGCGATCTAACTTTAAATCGAATCTGAGTTACATCTCTTTTTACGCTCGAAGGAAAATTACCGCATGATTTTTTCAATAATTTTCAACTTTGACTAATTCCATCCTGTTTCTTGCACGGGTTGTTCAGTACACACTATTCTACAAAAGACAACATTCACATATTCAAAAGCAAATTAACGATTTTTTAAAGAAAAATTTCATAAATATCTCAATTTTACTATGTCAGATAAATATATAAATTTTTAATTTTATTTTATTGATATTCAAATATTAAAATATTCTAAATAAATATACCACCTCATACAATCGAAAACAATTTGCATATTTAATTCGTTTTTATAGTGGAATTACCATCTAATTTATATAATATCGTTAGAATCTAAATTATGAATCACCGTCGATTTTCTAAGCTAATGTATCTATTTAAAACATTTTAACATTTAAAATATCAATTTAGAATATTTTAAGAGGTATTAGTTATATTAAATTAAAATTTTAAATATTTATTTGGTATATATTTTATAGAGTTTTTTTTTTTGTGATAACGGAGGACCCATAGCTGCTACCCTTCGGATGCGCTGACTAAGTAAATCTCTGGTTCGGGACCCTTTGTATATAGATCACATAAATCAAGAAATTACCCACTCTCTACAAGCAGGAATCGAAACTCAACTTCAAGGTGGAATTACTTCATACCCAAGCTTGACCATTCGCCTACAAGATTTTCTTGTTTTTTTTTGTTTATAATAATAGGATAATGAAACTACCTCTTTGCCCACTTCGCCGTAGTTGACTGCTTCGCCTATTTTAATTGACCGACGTTGTTCCCTTCTTCTCTCTCTTTTTTCTTCTTCCAATTTTATTAACTTCAAATCGTTTACCATAAGAATATATATATATATATATATATATATATATATATATATATATGTAGGATTCGTATTTCGTGTTATACATATTCACCTGACTGAAGTTAGTACCCGATTTAGAATCTTCCAGAGATTGGTTGAAATGTCTGTTTGGACAAGACAAGAAAACTCTTGTTTTTTATAATATCGAATTCGATAAAACTTTTACTTACCCTAAGTTTTTTTTTTTAATATTTATTTTAGTTAACGAAAAAAGGAAAAAAAAAAATATCATCCTCACGTAAAATCTGACACGTTTGGTGCGCGATTCAACTAAACGAGAAGCAAACTCATATTGTTTAAATTTTTTAAGGTTATTTTATCGGGTTCATACATGTATATGAATATGATAGCTTTCTCTTCGAGGTTATATATAAATCGGTACTTTGATCTATGTTTGTTATTTTGGAACCTTGGAAATAAACCAAGGACTATATATAATGCATAACAAATTTATTTCATTAATTTTTTTTTTTAAAAAAGCAATCGAAGATGAAAGCGAAAACAAAGCATTAATGAAGAAAAATGGAACCATGATGTTTATGTTATTAAAATTATTAATTTAAAAACGTCGGCAACGTTTTGAGTGGAATATATAATTAAGAAAATAGGCAGGAAGATAAATAGTGTGAAAAAAAGGGAATTTCGTGATTAAATACCGGTTTCCACTAATTATATGAGCGTTATTTATTTCCCACGTATGATTATGGAGAAAAAAAAATTAAAGTGGGTCCAACGAAGAGAATCTCTGATCAAGACTATCGTACGCACGCCCGTATCAGATCGCAGCGCATCCCTAGCCGGCTCCCAAACTCGGAAGTCAGAGTAAAAAAACAAGCGGCATCAGCCTTTTTACCACTAGCGGGGTGCTGCCACGTGTCAGATCCGACGGTTACAGTGCCTCGGCCATCTCTCAAGGAGCAAGACGCCAAAGAGCTCAAATTATTATTATAATTATTTAAAAAAGGTTTGGAGTGGGGCCCACAATCTCGGCGGCTCCGCCACGGTTTGCCGGCGGAGCAACGCCGAGAAATCCGCAGCCATTGGCGGTAGGGCTTTTCTCGGTCCTTATCCGTTACTGAAATATTTATTCTTTAATCCTTTATAATTAAAGTATATCATCCATATTCGACCACCTGTTGCAATATATAATGAATCATGTATACGATTATTTTATTCGAAATAATTACACTAGCTAGCAATAATAATAATTATAAATCTAATAACACCAACAACAACAGCAGTAACAATTACCATAAATCCCCAAAGTATATGATGAATTGAAAGCAAAAGTACCCAGAATCTTACATTTTAAATACAACAGTACGTTTCCAGCGATAAAGAACAACAATAGTACCCATTTTTTAGAATAAAAATACCAATGTACATCTTTTATACAGCTTTTATTTTCACAAAATTTAAAATATTATTTCTGTTTTCTACAAAAATCTCTTCAATACTTATCTCCTGCATTATTTTGACTTATCAACTTTCACAATTACTGATTTTTTTTTCCTTTTTGTACAGAATAATAAAATTTTATTATTAAACCGGTGAGATAAAAAGTGCAATAAAATGGCCGATCTCGGAGCTAAAAAAGAATGCAAAAAAAAAAAGGTTGTCGAAAATAAGATAAAGTATAATATGGGAGGCACGAGAGTATTAATTTCCATCTTTATTAATAAATCAGTAGATTAATTAATCAAATAATTACGTTTTCAAACTAAATTTAACATAGAGGCCAAGAAAACCAAAGGCGGAGATATGTATGTATATAATATAATATAATGAACAAACAATATAAGGAGCAAGCACACACATCACCGAGATTTTGCATACAAAAGAAATAGCTTCATATGATTTGCAGAGCTTGAGGGATGTATCGAACAAAAGGGGAGAGAGAGAGATAAAGATTAGTAATTAATCCTCCATTAAAAAAAAGGGGCCAAATCTAAAACTTCCTTACAATTTATAAACTTTATTTTCATCATCCAATCAATCAGTAAGTCCCCTCCTGCTACTGTTACAAATTCCTCCGATCCTTTTGATTTTCGCTTCGATTTCATCATCTTTCTGGGTTTGTCTTCAAGGATGTGATGTTGTAGTTGCAGAAGGGTTCGAATTCTGGAGAGAGAAAAACCTTTTTTTTCCCGAGATTTGTTTCATTGGCGTGATTTAGAGATCTGGGTTTTCGTTCTGGGTCCTGATTATTGATCTGAAAGTAGGGTTTTTTTTCTTCCGAATTTCTGCATATCGAATCAATTTTTCGCGGTTTCTGGGTATTTATCGCTCAAAAGCTGTTAAAGGTAGGATCGAGTTGGGGAGGGAGGACCCAGTTTGCAGGTTTTTTTTTGTTATAATCCCCCCTGAATGCGATTTCGATTTCTCCGACAGGGGAAGGGAACATGTTGGAAGGACGTCCTCGCGATTCTTGTCTGGTCTCGAGGCTTTTCACCATGTCTAGCCACAGCCAGACCAAATGGAGCTTCTTCTACTCCCCTTCTCTCTGCAGCAACGGGAAACGCCCCTTGCTCATCGATGACTACGACGACGACGATGACGTCATCCGCAGGCCGAGCAAGTATCGCAAGCCCACGCTCCACTCCTCTCACCGGAGCCGCGGCGAAGCCCCGCCGGATGACACCGGAGGCGGCTGCAGCGACGGTGGTTCCGGCGAGTCGCTTATCCCCGGGATGAACAAAGACATTTCAATCACCTGTCTGATTCGTTGCTCGAGAGCTGACTACTGCTCCATTGCTTCCCTGAATCGGAGCTTCCGTTCTCTGGTTCGAACCGGTGAGATTTATCGGCTCAGGCGGCTGCACGGTATGCTCGAGCATTGGGTATATTTCTCCTGCAACCTTCTCGAATGGGACGCGTTCGATCCGAGATCCGAGCGGTGGATGCGTTTGCCGAGTATGCCTCAGAACGAATGCTTCAGGTACGCGGACAAGGAATCGCTAGCTGTCGGAACAGAGTTACTCGTGTTTGGTTGGGAAGTGAGTTCATATGTGATATATAGATACAGCCTTCTGACCAACTCGTGGTCCACCGGCACGAGCATGCACATGCCCAGGTGCTTGTTCGGCTCGGCCAGTCGGGGAGAGATCGCGATTGTGGCCGGTGGGTGCGATTCAAGCGGCAGACTTCTCGACTCGGCCGAAATGTACAACTCCGAGGACGAGACATGGACGCCGTTGCCGCCGATGAAAAAGCCGAGGAAAATGTGCTCTGGCGTTTTCATGGACGGCAAGTTCTACATTATCGGAGGGCTCGGGTTAGGAGACGGGAACGAGCCGAAAGTCCTAACGTGCGGGGAAGAGTATGACTTGGAGACCAAGAAATGGACAGAGATCCCGAACATGTCCCCTCCTCGTCCACTCCCGGACAACGGAATACCTGCGGCAGCCGAGGCACCGCCACTTGTCGCAGTGGTGAACAACGAGCTATACACAGCCGATCATGCCGGAATGGCCGTGAGGAGATACGATAAGAAGAATAGGGTTTGGATCACGGTAGGGGCACTGCCCAAACGAGCCGGGTCGATGAACGGGTGGGGTATGGCTTTCAGGGCATGTGGAGACAGGCTCATCGTCATCGGCGGTCCGCGAAACTCGGGCGAAGGCTTCATAGAGATTAACTCGTGGGTTCCGGCCAACGGTCCACCGGAGTGGCACCTGCTCGGGAGGAAACAGTCGGTGAACTTCGTTTATAACTGCGCGGTGATGAGCTGCTGAAACCATTTGTTTGTGGATTACAGAATTTGACTGTGGGAAAGCGGGGGAAGGGCCTAAATGATCGTTCTGTTCTTCTTGAGTACATTGTTAACAGAAAATAAACAGAGGGAATCGAGATTCGGGAGGATTCAAGATTGGTCCGACAGGAACAAGAACAGGAGGGGAAACACATGTTTTGTTATTTAGCTTTCTATGTGACAATGATCCAGAAATTATACATTTCTTGGCCGTGTAATTTTGTTTTCCTGATAGAGATTAGCCTTTAATCTCCTTGTTCATCGGATAATTATTTTATAATTCGAAAATTCATCGAACTTTCGATTCAATTATATCTCTCAAATGAACAGAAAAACTCAGGTGAGTATCGCTCTCCGCTCTCCAAATGAAGACTCAAACCTGAGTTGCAGAGAAATTTTGCCCCATCCTTGCGAATTGAATCACCCAATCTTGAATCGAATAATCAATATTCTCTTATGAGTTTTCATGGATTCTTTGAAAACATTCTTGCAAGATATTCATTCTTCTAATTTACATGGTAATATATATATATGCATTACAAGATGTGACTTGAGTGATTTCATTGTCTTTGAAATATGATGGTCATAGTGTATGGTGAAATTGGTCATTCAAACCAAAAAGTTTCAGAATTTCAGTTAAATTTTGATGGATTTGGGATTTCAAAAATGAAAATGAAATGAAGGCAGAAAGCCAAAAGAATTTAATGAGAATTACAAAAAGTACAATATTATTAGGTCAAAGAATTTATTCACACACACACACTTGCATGCAAAGCTCCATCGACATATAGAACAGCACAGATTCTGGTCCGAGCCGCCTTCATTTATTACATATATGCATCGCTCGTACTGTAAACAATCGAATGTTATTTATTGATTTCATTTTCATTTTCACGGAGAAAATTGTTTTTGGTGGATATTATTATTGCGAGGATCTTATTCGGATCGGACCTTTGATTCCATAATTTTTTTTTTGGGGGGTACAGTGAAAAAGAAATCCATGATCAAAGGCATAAAGCAAACAGGTTATTAGTGTTGGTGGAGGAGGTTAGTGGCCCATCTTATTTAATTTAATACACTAAAAATACATCTATTTCTTTTTAAAATTCGCTTTTGTCGATACCCCAATATTTCTTGCACGAATACAACACGATAAACATATATATATTATATATAAAATAAAAGAAAAAAGAAAAGGAACATGGATGGATTCCTTTTGTCTGGAAATTATTTTTGTTATCATTCCTTCGTTTCGTGGAATAGTTTCCATGTCATGTCTTCCTCCGTTTCGGATACCGACGCAATCCACTCTTTTGTATTTTGGGTAATGTCGGGTCGGTCTATGCTTTCATATTCATTTCCGAATTTTCTTTACAAAAAAAAAATAAAAAATTTACGTTTAGGTTTTAAGTCCATAACATTTTTGTGTGTGTATATATTCGAAGAATTAGATAGAAGTATATGCAAATTAGGAGGAGTCTCACTCCCACCTCTTCTTCCACTGCAGCTATAGTAGGCAGGTCTGGTACAGTTTCGCTCGATCCATTTGGAATATGCCGCCTCTAGATTTGCATGCCACTATGGATTGGATGCGTCGCCCAGGAAATGTCCAGTCCCATAATCGGCGTCTTATCACCCTTATTTTGCTGCAATGCTCGATTTACCTGTTATGGTCGGAGAGAAACGCAAGGATCTTCAGAGGGGAGTCATCGACGGTTGTCTCGCTTTGTGGTAAACTAAATGCCATGGTCCGTAACTGCATACTCTCTCTCCTCGGCTCCTCCCGTAGGATTGATTCGACTCTTCTATCCGATTGGTACTATCTTACTCTCTATCCCCGATAGCTGCTCCACATGTTGTTTTTTATTGACTGATATGGTGTCTAGTTAGAGACACATGAGTATTCATTTTGTAGGGTATTCGGTCCTATCCGGTTATGTACACGAACTATGTTTAAACTATTTTTATTAATATACATTTAACTTTTATCAAAAAAAAAAAAAAAATAGAATTATTCCAATTAAAATTAGATTTTAAAATCTGGGAAAACTCTGACCATTCAATGTCTAGGATATGTAAATTTTCTGCATCCAAAAACCCTTCCGACCAAATAATTGAGTTTGATTATTAAAAATGTACAATGAAAACATAACCTTGCAGGGTCACACTTGTTGGAGTAAATAAATCAATAATAACATATGCTCGATCGAAAATCATTCACATAACCAACAGATCGTATGGCAACATCATCATCATTGTTGTCGGCATCCGATAATTATATTTATTATACAAAAATATCATCTACACATAATTTATCAAATATTTTTTACATTATATTTGATGGACCTACAAAACTCAGATTAGGTAACACATTTCTTGTTCGATGAATAGATTAGCGTCCACGTAACCACTTCCATAATAATAATAATAATAATAATAATAATAAATAGTAAGATTTTAAATCAAGCAAAGCGAGAAATCACGTGGTAGGTTAAATCTTATAATCTTCTATAATCAGTGAATGATTCATACAGACGTGTACATCGTTTTCTTTCGCTATCTTTTCCATTTTACAACAATCAACCAAAAAAGAAACATTGATTTGTTTGTAAGCGTTTTTTTGTGAATAAAAATAAAAATAATCTCAATTTTCTGATTAGGGATGTCAAAGAGCTAATAAGATTCTAACCACGGTGATTTAATAATAATAATAATAATAATAATCAGTTGATAATTTAAAAGTCGCACGCATCAATTTACATGTAAATTTAAATCTAAAAATATTTATTCGACTTAAATATGGTACATTCAAGATGATATATATGACGATCTAATTTCATCTCTTTCGATGAGCCCTAATAATATATATATATATATATATATATATATGTTATATATCTTATAAGATATGTGTATTGTGTTTTGTAGCAAAATGAGTTGTGATTGAAAATCCAAAAAGGGCTAATGGCACCTAAAACATGAATGAATGAGTATAGAAATCTGCCCAAGTGGTTGACATAATACCCTCCATTGGCCCCATTTCCAACTCTAAAGTTTTTCCCATTTATTTATATATATATATATATAGCTTATAAAAAAATAATGGAAGTCCACACATAGCTAACTTTAAGTTTTAAGAATGTCAAGAATTTATGAAACTTGAGACAATCAAACATGTATACCTTCTTTATGATATATTTTTTTTTATGAAACTCTTTATAATATTTCATATACTACAAATATTCCTCTTAAAATATTATATATATATATATACATATATATTCATCGCAAAATATCTGATTAAAGTTATAACGTTTCGTCTAAAAGATCGAAAAAACCCCATATAAAATATACTTTGTATATAGATCTTAGGGAAAAAACCCTAAAAATTCCTGAACTTGTATTTTGGAGTAATATTAATTCCTAAACTTGTAGAAGTGCCTATTAATTCTCAAACTTGCAAAATTGAATACGTTAAATCCTGAACTTGTTAAACGGTTCCATATTCGTCCATAGCATTATTTGGTCAAAA